ACACGAGGTTCTATTGCCTCCCCACATGCTACTATCTGTTCACAATCTGGTCACTGTGACTGCTGGCACTAGAACAGTGCTTTTATTTTTTTTTTCCCATTTATTTTTATTAGTTGGAGGCTAATTACTTTATAATATTGTAGTGCTTTTAAAATAGCAGGCTGCCTTCCTTGAAGTTGGCCATGCAATCGATTTAGTGGTTAAGCCCAGTTTTTCAATTAGATAGAAGAAACTAAAAATGTTAATTAGCAATGCATGTCCTATGTGATAAGCATGGTTTTCACTTCATGAAATATGTTATATACACTTTCTTTGCACATCAGTTTTCATCAGATGATAGGAACCTACTACAAGGGCAATACCGCTGTTGACAAAGACTAGAGCTTGGAGATCTCTCTGCTTTGCTAGTTCTCACCTATCAAACCAGAGGTGACCCACCAGCCTCGCTCTTGGACACCAACCACCGCGCCCCCCCCCCCACTTTATTATGTTTACAGAGCACCATATACTGTTCCATTGTTAACCTGCTCAGTCCTCACTGGATTCAAGTGCCTACTGTTATCCTTACTTTACAGATGGGAAATGGACACAGGTTAAGCCACTCAGCCTAAGTTACATGGCCCGTTGTGAATCGGGGCCAGAGCTCAGACCTGTCACGCTGACTGAGAACACCCTGCATGGACCAGATGGCGGTAAGACATCTCCCTACAGAGACTGCATGGTCACCCCGGCAGCAGCCTGGAGGCATCTTGTCCTCCGGTGGGAAGACAGATCCCTGGGGGACCCCATTCTCCACCCATCATAAGCCAGGGCCCTGGGAGCAGTCTCTGCCCTCTGCCTGGAATGCCCCAGGCTAGCACTCACCGCTCTCTGTGTGACTTCAAAGTGTACCTCTTTTCAAGATGCCTCCTGTGATCACCGCAGCTGAGGCATCACGGCCCTCATCCTCTGTCCCAAGAACCCTTACCTCATCGCTAGCTGCCATTACATCAGAAATATATTTCTGTGTTTATGCACTGTCTCCCCCACCAGAAGGAAGCACCCAGAGGGCAAGCATTTTGTCTGTGGGCTGCTGCGCCTCTAGTTCCTAGATGGACGACAGCGCTTAAGAACCCCAGAAAAACGTGTTATTGGATGAGCAAGAGTCTGGAGTAAAGAGGGTGAGTAACATGAAAAGCAAAACCTAATCTCCTTACCCCCTGGACAAGGCACTATCAACTTGCCGTCTGTTCTTGCAATGGTCAGACCACCGCTGTTCATCCACCAGCAACATCTAGCGCGGTGTAAGGGGTTTGGGGCCTACAGAGGGGAAAAACAGATGGGCAGAGAAGGTTTGTTCAAGACAGGAAATAAGTTCACAAGATGGACCCAACTCCACAGTGCACCTTGGGTCTGTGCAGTCACTCTGCTTCTCCCGAAATCTGTAGAGATGGTCCTGTGTGTCTGAGATTCACCGACAAGGAGATGCTTATGAAGCACCATCTCTAATGGACTTGTGGAACTGGGTCTATGTCAGATTTTATAGATGATAAGAGAAGGAAGATGCAGGCTGTTATTCTCCAAGGGCTTCCGCACCGTGATGGAGAGAGAATGCCACACCCGAACCTCCGAGTCCGAGGAGGTAGCAGCGAGTGGCAGAAGGCACGGCGAGTTGTGCTCCACCCACTAGAGAGAGAAGGCAGGACTAGGCGAGGGCGGTGGAGACGAGAGCCCGCTGAGGGGTCCCGTTCCCACCGGGGCACCTGGAGGCTGACCCCCTCACTGCCTGGCACCTGCGGGGGATTGATGAAGGGAAGACCCATAGAGCCCCAGCCTCCCGGGAAATGGGAAGAATTCACATCAGTGAACACCCTGCCCTTTACAAATAACTACAGGTTAACTGCGGAGGATGCCTTTCCTGACGAGGCAGGCCTGGCCTGTGTGGTAGCTCTGTTCTGGGGAGTCAGGGCCGGCCCTGGTACCTCGGGCCGAGACCACACCAAGAGCGTGTGAACCAAGAAGGGTGTCTGTAAACCCCATCCCCATTCAAACACTCCTACTGCCCTGTATCTCTTCCTCCTTCCGGGCAGGAGTTGGGTCAGGTCTGTGAGCACTTGTTAGTCCAGCGCATTAAGGTTCTGTACTCTTGGGGAGAAGACCTGGGTGCTTGGCGGAGCCAGCATGGTAGGAAATAGTGCCCGCCCCTCATCCTGACGACAGGTGACACTTAAGAACAGCTTGCAAAACATCCCCACTGACTTATCATGTATGTTCTCCCCTCAGAAAACACCCAGCAGATAGGAGGAAATGGAGACACAGCGAATAAATTCAGATGTTTTATTCTGGAAAGCACATGTGCACAGAGTTTCAACACAGAAAATTAACCTGGGAGTGAATGCCGGAACAGATCGGCTACCGACCATCATGCAGCAAGGTGAGTGACACGGACCCGCTGGCCCTCGGAACCCCACAGTGCCTGCGGGAGGGTGAAAAGCCAGGAGGCTGAACCCCTACACACTGCCCAAGAGAATGCAACAGAAGTGGCAAGGCTCCTAATGACGAGAACAACTTACAAATAGAATCAAAACTGATTCAAGTCATACAGTGAAAGGACAAAAGGAAAAGGGAAAGAGATCAATATGATCTGAAACAACTGTTTTAATAGTAAGTTGCTGACCTTTTGTTGGACTCCAGTCCAAGACGCCCGAGGACGGGCCAGTGCTTCTGCACGGGGTCGCCCCTGGAGGGGAGACAGGCCCTGTCTACGACCCTCTGCTCATCCTGAGGGCCCCGCCCGCCCACTGAGGGACACAGAGGACAGGGCCTGGTCTGTCAGCGCCCGGAGAGTAACGGGTCCTCTGGACTTGCTGAGGGTCGGCGGACCCAGCACCCCTGGCATCCCCAGCCTTCCTGTGTACACCCGACTGGGCTTCTGTAAGATCTGAGATCACCTGCAAGGGGAGAATGCTGGGTGTCAAAGTGTGTGTCCTGGCCTCGTGACAAGTCATACTGTCCAGGCATTTTTGGCACTTCCTTTCCTTGTGCCTAACAGAGTCCCTCCTCCCCTGCCAGCAGATGCCAGCCAGTCCCTGTAATTAACACAAGGGTCATTAATATTAGCAACAAGCTGGACCCAACGAACCAGTGAAACTGACTTTTTTCACCTGTCTTCCTTTTATATTACTCTGCCAGTTAGTCTATTCCTGTAACTCTACTTCCTTGGGATTTTACTAATTCAGTAGCAGCTTCATCTAAAATCTGTTGGTCTTAATGATACTGATGTTTCTAAAGGCCAAGCAAATGGCTCTTTCTCAATCTTGTCTCGTAAGAGTCTCAAAGTCTCTAAAGAGAAAACTAAATTAACTGATTAGCTATGCATCAGGTAAGCAACTCATATCATTTAAAAAAAAACAGACAAGTCTGATTACTGTGCTTGAAATGTACTAAAAGAAAAAAAAAGTATTAACATCAAGTTACTATGATGATTATTTTAATAACCTTCAGTAAAAGCCCACAAATGTTTTCCATTCAATGCCTGGGACTTAAAAAACAAACAAATAAACAAAAAAAAAAACTTGGGATAAAATATTCTAGGCCAATATATTTCAGACTGCAGGGCTGGTTCTAATTTAGAACTGACTACAGACCTGGAGTTAAGGGAAAGAAGTGCTGACAGTCACGCCCAAGACTGTTAACTGCCCTTTTGCTCTATCACTGCTTGGGAGAACTTTCAGAAATCATTAATGACTGTGAGTTAGTAAGGCTGTGAAGAAAAATGGTAATAAGAACACAAGTGATAAAGGGCTAGAAAAGATGCACAACCGTTTTAAAATGAAGATAGCTTGGAAGGAAAAAGGGATAAAAGAATTATATCATCCAAATGTTATAAGAAAAAAAAATGCTTTTGGTTTTCCTGATAAATGGCAAATCAGAATCATTTTCCCTCAGATTTCACAGCCAACGTTTTCTTAATGTTGTATCTACAAGTTGCCATTTCCTTCCAAGTATGTTAACTGCATAAAAATGAAACACCTCCCCATAAAACACCCGGGAAAGAAAAATCTCCCTTCTCAAAGAAAAGGAGAGACCCTTTCATGACTATTAGACCGAACCATCACCCTCTCCTTCCCATACTGTCATTTGCATTTCAGAGAAGAGAACGAACGGCTCGTTTTCACTCTAGAGCCACTTGTGCTTCATTTTTGAAGCTCTCTGGAGCAAGGAAGCTGTTTCAACTTTTATAACAGAGGTAAGGGACAACAGAGAAGAAAAAGGACAGTGGAACACTCTGAGCCAACTCAACTCAAACAAGACCAAGCTCCTCGCTGTCCATGTGGAACATGAAACTTTGATCTTTACCAAGTAAGTGACTTTTAAATATTTAACTTTTTACTCAAGATAAAAGCACAAACCTCTCCTAACTAGAGTAGTATTAAAATGTGACTATTTTTTCTTCAAAGGGGAAAAGAGGGGGATTAAAAAAAAAAAGGTATGTCTCCTTGCAAGCAAAACAGAGAAAAAGGTATTGTTGTTGTTACTATAATTATTAAGCCACAGACACATAAAATCCACAAACTGGATTGGCGTGGCTTTGGAAATGCAGTATCATATCAAAGGGGCAGACTGTTTTGAACATTCTGTACAGATCTGGCTGAACAAGAACCAAAGCAAACCTCCCCCACAGCGGTGACATGCCTCGGGCCCCGGGAAAGACAGCATGGCCTGCTCCGGCAGCGAGGTTGCGAATCCCCTCGGGCACCGCATGGGTCATCCCGCCGAGTCTGCAGGTGAGGCTGAAGGGTTCTGGCGGCACCCAGTGCGAAGCACGTGCATCACTGGACCAATTTCTGAATGGACTTTTATAAATATATACAAATCAGTTACAGGCACTTGAAATGTCTTTGGCTGGAATAACCCAACATTGCAAGATAATGTATTCACAGAGTGTCCAGGCCCAGGCTGGATCAGCAGGCGATGATTATGGTTCTTTCGGTCTCTCTTGGCAAACGGCAGCTGCAGGATTAGGCGTCTGCCAAAGCCACCTAGGAGACAGCGAGACGGCCAATGGGTCACGCAGCAACGCCCAGGTAACTCAGCCCCACCACCTCTCCTACTGAGGCCCTGGGCCCAGCCCCAAACCCAGGGAGCCACACACATGCATCTGCAAGACAGGGGAATGATTAAAGCGCTAAAAAGATCAAGCTCATCTAGGAGGTAATGAATAGAAGTCAGCTGATCTCAGGAAGCGCCATGCTGAGATGGGCCAAGTGTCAGCACCCTGGGAAGTGACCAGCACGCTGACCCACGTGGAAGGGGGCAGCCCTAAGGGTTAGCCGTTCTCCAGTGGGAAACTGTTTTTAATACATAATTTTTTAAAGTAGTTTTTTTTTAAATTATTTTATTTGGCTGGACCAGGGCTCAGTGGCAGCATGTGGGATCTAGTTCCCTGATCAGGGATTGAACCCAGATCCCCTGCACTGGGAGTACAGTCTTAGCCACTGGGCCACCAGGGAAGTCCCTACTACATAATTTGTTAGCGATCTAATTTTCATTTTGCTTGTTTTGTTTTTTGGCCACATGGTGTAGCATGTGGGGTCTTAGTTCCCTGACCAGAACACTGGAAGGACAGAGTCCCAGCCGCTGGACCCAGGGAAGTCCCTCCAGTGGGGATGTGAGAATGGTTTTTTCCCACCAAAGACGGGTATGTGGTTGAAAAGGCAACACCATGTTATAGGCTGAGGGGCAATGGCTGCTGATGGACAGGAACTAAGTTCCCCAGAGAAAAGGCATCGCCCACAGTAAGTGGAAATAGGACTAACTGGGACTTTACCCAGAGACCTCCAGAGCAGTCCTGGGCCAGACCCCACCCACCGCTCACCTTCTCGGGACAGAATTCAGGATTGCTCTGACGCAGTTTGCTGGGTCTGCCTTTGATAACCGCGTAGCAAAACATCGTTATCACCATCACGAAGAGGAAGTAACTGGTGTGCATGAGGTGCAAGTTTATTAACGAGCGGTCATCCTAAACAAAGAGAGCCAATCAGAGATGTCCACACTGAGTCACTGAGATTTTAAGGCTGGCTTCCTGAAATCAGGGGGCACAACCTCTAGGCTTGCCTCAACGTTCCTTCTCACATGGGAACCAAAGGTTCTCCTCCTATCTTCTCAAGCAGGAAAGCTGGAGCTCACGGTGTTCCAGACACCCACCCACATCCTCCCTTCCTAAACCGGTACTCTGCTCAAATTCCCCCCGGAGCCTTTAACCCTGCCCTTCCGTCTCTTTTTGTTCTCACAGCCCTCAAGCTGCACAGCTGACCCCCCAAGTCTGTGTTCCTAACCCCTAGCTATTCCTCCCCAGAGAGGGTGCAGCCTTTCCCCACACGGATGAGCCCCTGGCTGGAAACGCCAGCCGTGACTCATGCCTTTGATCCCCACAGGCGCCCGGCCACAGGCCCGGCCAGCTGTTGAGATCCCAGCCAGGCCTCCACTCCTGTTCCTTCTCACAGCTCCAGGCCTCCGGCTCCATCCCATTTTGCGTATCGGGGGGTAGACCAGTCTTCCTGACACACTGCTTTACAAATTTCCTACAGCCCAAATGCAGGCGGTGCTGGCCGCCTCCTCCAGGGAGATCGAAACGCCTCAGTGAGGCCCGGGGGGCCTTCGGGAACCTGGCCCCTGCCCGCCACACAGTCTCAGCTCCACTGCGCACTCCTGCAGGCCCTGCTGTTCCAATGCCCACAACTCGATACAAGTGAGACATAAGGAAAGAGAGCGACCAGGCAGAAAGAAAAGAAATCCACCTGGCATGTACTGACAGAAGAGAAGAACATTTACAAAAATTCAGTGCAGTCTTTTAAAAGTGGGCTCCAGTCTGAGGAGCAAACAAAATTGGCAAATCACCCACTAGCTCAGAGGACAGGGCCTCCCCTCTATCTTCTCTTTGTAAAGTCAAAGCCTCTCCAGGCACCAATATTTAGCCAGAGTCCTCTCCTCCTATTTTCATCTGCCTCTCTGAATCCCACACTATGTACTGCTCCTACTGCCACTAACCACAGATGCTTCAGCAAGGGGCGTGTGCAAGAGGAAGGCTGGCCAGCCTCTCCTGCAGCCCCTCTGAGTTAGGCACACAGCTGCAATCAATACATAACTGCTGTTGGACAAAGCGGAAAATGAAGAACAGAAGCAAAGGGGTGGCATGTTTCGGCAAGTCTCCAGCTTCCCCAGCCTGGTCTCCCCACCCGGCTGGACATCGAGAACGGCAGGAGCTAAGCTGACCCAAGGACGGAGGTAAGCGGGGTCTGCCCTAACAGTTCCTGGACACACACGGACACACAGGATTCTTCTCACTTACGTCTGGAACAATAACTGTAAGCTTGGGGTTTAAAGCATGGTAGACTTTTCCAATGGCCCCCTTGTAACACCAGAAAGGGTTGTAGTCTTGAGCGTATTTTGTGTTGGCATCCCTGGCCGTGGTGAAGATCTTATACCAGAGCGTGGCGTTGCTATAGGTGTCAGGAACACAGTGCGGCGGCTGTCTGCAGGAGAAGGGGGCGAGACACGGCGCTGAGCAGGCCTCATGTGGGGAAGGAGAAATCGGAGACAGCCATATTTTCTTGAGATAAGGCCTATTATGTTTTTGGTTCAGTGATTTTTTTTAATTAATGAACACAACAGAATAAGAACTAGGCATCGATACTTGAGAGTTTGAGTGTTAGAATTTTGCTTTCAGAATTCAATCCTAGGTCCTCTCACCAGAAAGGAGTCACTCCTTTTAAGCCCATTTTCTCAAATAAGCTAAACTTTCAGTCACCACTGGAAGTTTTCCATACAAACTTCTCTATCAGCTGTTACAACCAACAGCAAATAATGCTGAACTTGGCCTACAAACCTCCAAACATCTAAAACAGATTAATCCCAGGACAATTATTTGAAAACGACTCACCCTAACATCCTTAAATAGGCTCTGCCTTGTGTATTTCATGTATTTATAGATCATTACCTCCTTTACAGAGAAAGCAGAGGCAAGAACAGCCTTAAAGGCAAAGTGGTTAACACTGACAAGTGCTCAAAAAAAAAAAAAAGAAACAGAAGTTTCAGCAACAGTAACTGTTTCATGGAAAATAAGGTTCAATTTATACTATCAATTTAAAAAATAACTCTTCCTGGATAATGGAGATGAACAAAATACTGTTCAGAAGCCGTCATTATGGGTCATTATGGTCACAGGATCAGTTCTTACACATCTTTCCTGTGGCTTCTGCTACCAACAGGAAAGGAAGTCTAAAAAACCTGCAAACACAACCAGATGCTTTTATGACGTTACTGAAACACTAACCCTCTGATATTTATATGCAGAAGTTTTACCTCAGAAAAGCAAATTAAACTGAAATAATCCTATAGACAAGTCCCAGCAATGACAATTCTACAAGGTAACATGACACCAGCTGTCCTGAGAATTTGCTGCTAAAGCATTCTAGTCAAGTTCACGGTAAATAGCCTCTCACATATGTCCATGGAGGTCAGGGAGCACTTACACGGTGACGGGGAACACGCCGGGGTGAGCTGTGAGGGTCATGCAGGCTGTGAACACCACCTGTTCACAATGCCCGTGAAGGGCACAGTCGTCCGAGCTCCAGGATGTGGGCAGGGTGAAGGTAATATTTATCTCCTCCTGGGCTTCCCTGCCTGGAAAAAGAAATCAGTGTTTTGGTAAATAAGGCAAGAAATATACATTTATGATTCTCTGGGATTTGACTGAATCCTGAAATCAAACCCACCCAGGAATCCCATCAACCCAGGGAGGTGGGACCCCTGCCTTTGCGGGGGTTTCAGGAATAACAGTGGTTGTTCCGAGCCAGACTCTGAGGCCTGCTCAGCGGGCAAACCCACGGTGCAGCAAACACAGCCGGGCTGCTTCCGGCCGCCGCCTGGAGAGGCCGCGCCAAGGCCCAGCCATGCCTGAGTGGGACGGCTGGGGCTGTGTAAGTCCTCACACTGGCACAGAGCTGGCACAGCACTCACCACTGTCACTCTGCTTTTAGATGTGTTACTTCACTTGGTGGGCCACTATCCCGTGAACAAGACCAAAGAAGTGTTACTGCAACCTTTTCACATATGAGCAGACTGAGGATCAGCAGGTCAGACTTAAGAAAGGTCATGGGACAGGTGAGTGATAAAGTGCAAATGAATACCAAGGTATTAAACATTAAACAGCAAAAGAAAAAGGTCCACCCGCTACATGAAAAACCCAGATGTTGCCCTTACCGCCTTACATGGGAACACCTCTCACCAGGAGCAGCCAGTAGGGGGCTGCCAGGTACTCCCCAGTTCCTTGAAGGACTTTCAAAGGTTCTTGGTAACCAAAGATGATTCCTCTGAGGCCCAAGTCTCTGGCACAAAGCCCGTCCTGATCATTCCAGCTTCCACTACTTCAACTTCCTCCTGATTCACCTACAGTCTGTCCTGGGTTTAGTACTAGTCCAAGGGCAGCGCTCAATGTTCTACAGGTGTTTAATATTATTTCACAAGCATTTATACAGCATTTCCTGCCTGCCAGGAACTACTCTTAAGTGCTTGATGAATATTAACTTACGTTATGCTTGTCTCTTTCATATCCCAAAACTGCAAAGGGAAGAAGCCAGATCTTCGGCTTTTTCTAATTCCTAGCATTCAGCCCAGTGCGTTCAAAAAAAAAAAAACTTAAGACTAACAGCAATATCTGTAGTATGTACAAAATTCCAACATGATGAACCAGAATTTAGACAATCTGTCTTTAACAGACACACAGATACAGAGAACAGACTTGTGGTTGCCTCTGCTGATCCCAAACTCCCAATCCTTCCCTCCCCTCCAGCAAACTATTATACAGAATGGATAGACAAGGTCTTACTGCACAGTACAAGGAACTGTATTCGCTGCTCTGTGACAAACCATAATAGAAAAGAAATGATAAAGTGTGTATGTATGACTGAGTTACCTTGCTCTAAAGCAGAAATTAACATGACATTGTAAATCAACTATACTTAAATAAAATTAAAAAATACAAATAAAAAGATGTGCATTTAAGAATGTTAAGACCATAAATAGGCCTTATAGTTTCTTCCCAGTCTCCCACTCTTATAAGCTTTCATTGAGCACCTACTGCGTACCAAGCACTTGAATAAGCGAAGATGTAGTAGAAATGGTTCCTCCCTGATTTTGTTTAGTTCAAACTCAACAAAAGGGAAGACACATACAAAAACTAAGGAACAGTCTGAGGAGGAAAACCAGACACTCTAATACTCTGTGTTTTAACAGCTGTGGCCAGAGAAAGCCTGAGGGAGCTGGCTCCCACTCACGTACCCGAGAGTCCGATCTGATGCCCGAGGATGGTGGAATACAGATGTGTGACGTTTCGCGAGTACCCGCCAAAGGGTTTGAGTGGGTCCAGGGTGAGGGTGATGGCTACTGAGATGTTCACTGGGCCCGCATCCTCCAGGGACTGTGGGGACTGCGTGGACGTCCTGGCCTGGCCGCTGGTCACTGTGCTTTCCAGAGCTGCGGTGTCATTTGTGAGATGCTTTAACGTTTCATTCTCTGAGACACACAAGTCCAAGTCATTAAACCGCAGGAGAAAAGTATTCCAGTCCTTTGGTAAAACGAAAGAGAAGCAAGGGTGAGACGTCTGAAAGTGCTGCCGGCGCAGCGGCACAGTCACGACCCTCCGTATGGTGTCGCACACGGCCCACTGGGCCCCAGTCAGTCCCTCAAAAAACGACGAGGGGAGATAGCCTTCAGCTTCCTGCGCTGCCGTTACTGTGTGGAATTCCAAACACTCTCACATTCAAAATCTAAAATATGAACTCTCCATTGGCATGACCTACTAAATAAACTGAGTTGAAACAACTCAGGAAAATATGTGAAGGAAAAAAAGTACATCATACTCACAGAAAATCATCTAGCCTCAAGACGACTTGAACAAAAGTAGTAAAACATTCAAAGTATTAACCTAAACTCATTCAGCAGTTACAGTTAGCTACTTTTATATTTTAATTCAAGGATAACTGCTTTACCACACTGTGTTGGTTTCTGCCATATACCAGTGTGAATGAGTCACAAGTACACATATGTCCCCGCCTTCCTAAACCTTCCTCTCACACCCCCCACCCCTCTGGGTACAACTAGCTATTTTTTAAAAATTAAGGCTGCCTTAAAATATTTCCTTAAAAGGTCCCTTTTCTAAACCGAGCTCCTTCTCTCTTGAGAACATGAAACCACAGTAAATACCCACTCTGATGTTAATACTTTCTCCTCCTCGTCATGGACTCTGGGTGCCACTTTAGGACAGAAACAGTTTCAAAAGGGAGGAGAAAAGATGTTCTCAAGCTTCTCTTTATATCTATATTGATGGTTTAAACTATAAATAGTTTTAAAACTGATACCAACATAGTAAAGTACCCACCAGGGTGTTTTTTCATTTAAGCAGAAACCCAAAGATGAACTCAGGCTAGAATGACAACAACAAATCAACCTAGGCTGTTCCACACAACTCCTTTCTTCCAAGTAACATTATCTACAGAAAGCCACCAAATGTGAAGACAAACCAAATGACACAGCCAATAACTGTAATGTTAATTAAAAATTCTATTCAAGTAATTCCCCAAGTCTACCAGTTTATCAGTATTCGGCGTTTAGTAAGAGGGCAACCAGCAATTTCACATTACACTCTCTTTAACACCTAAAAACTCAGCAGACCATTCAAGAACATTAGAGCTGAGAATGAATATTCTAGTCTTGCCCCTTCATATTCCAGACATGAACAAACTGAGGCCCACAGCAAAGTGGGGACTGTCCAATTCCAGCTGAGGTGAAAGCAGGCAGAATCAGAACTAATTTTATGATTCACAGTCCCAAACTTTCCCTACTATACCCAGGCTCCTTAACTGAAAATAAAATCCCTAAATTAAATCATAAAGTTCTGCAGCATCCTGCAGCTCTGCTTTCCTGCAGAGTTCGAGTCCGTTTTGAAGTTGGCTAAGGCCAATGTCAGGCCCCATTCTGCTTATCAAGGGCTAATTATCCATGCTACATCTTAACCTCTGGCCTTGGCTGAGCATTCAACATGGACTTGAGCTTGGAGGGAGAGGAATGCCAGGACGCTGCAGAACTTTGGTTGTGACTAGAATGTTCATTTTCAGCCCTAAAGACTCAGGCAGGGTCAGAAAAGTGAGAACTAAGCCAGTCCGTAGGTCTCCTGGTAAGAAACTCTTTGGAAGGGTTTAGTGGGAGAATAGCGCAAACTTGTTGCTCTGTGTCAGAGAAGGTGGTTCCTCTTGCCAAGATCATCTATAATCCAGAATGGCACAGAGTGAGCACCATCCCCACGCCACTGAGTGGAACTCCGCTCTCCATCCCGAGGCGCGCACACTGTGACAATCATGCAATCCCTACCCCACCCCCATTCCCACCAAGGAACACACCCAAGAAGAAAGTGCAGGAGAAGGCACTCAAAGAAACCACTAAAATGGAAACTAGTTTGTCCTAAAGGAAACTCATCCACCAGGAAATTCACCGTATCAGTGGTTTGGCATAATGTAAACTTATTAACAGGTATACTGTCATTCACCTCTATTAAACAAGATTATTAACTCTGTATTGTTTTCTGATATGCAGGAACATGCTTTTTGGGGCAGGGACGGGGGGCTCTGTGCTGCATGGCTTGTGGGATCTTAGTTCGACCACAGACTGAACCCAGGCCCTTGGCAGTAAAATCACTGAGTCACCCGCTGGACCTCTAGGTAATTTCCAAAAACATATAAAATCTGTACTATGACCGTTCAAAAACTACTATATGCCTAGATTAACAATTAAAGAGCAATGCCCAAATAATTCATTTAAACTGACCAAAAAACAAAATCTATAAGGCAAGTTTGTAGATAACTAAAATTTTCCCTGATAAGAAGAAGAGATATATATTTGGAAATAAGATCCTGCTTTCTAATTTTTTAGAGTTCTTTCTTTCCAATGAAAAGGCTTTCAGTACAGTGTAAAACTCCATGACAATATATGGTTTTAAAATAAATGCTTAGTTTCTTTAAATAGCAATTAGCGAATTTAATGTAAATAGCAAAAAGTTAGTTCTTGAACTTCTTGACACACACACTTTACAAATACACTTCCTAAAATACATGCTTTGTTGCTGAACAGTCTAACTAAAGCTGGTAGCATTATTTAAATCAGTAACTATCTGACTAGATTATTTCCTACCAAAGTGAGTCACTGCAAGATGGAAGGCCAAAAATTCTGAATAAATATGACTCCTCACTGGGATAAATAAAAGTCACAAACCAAAGAAAGGTATGTGGAGAGCCAAAAGGTGTTTTCCCACCCTACAAAGGTCCAGTCCATCTGAGAGGAGAACTGAGAGTTTACTGTACCTCTGCCATTTCTGGTGACTTGATCTCCTTGATCTTGAAGAAATAGCCCAAGGTCAGGAAAGCGATTGCCATGGCGCTGACACTGATCATAAACACCACCAAGGGGGGCCGGCTGCTGATGTACAGCTTCAGGTTCTCCAGGGGGTTGATGTTGAACATTATTCTGATCAGCTCCACCTGAAAGGAATTCATCAGAATCACTGACAGACTCGCTGAAAGAAAACCTATGACTCACATGTTTCTTTATTGGGGTTGGGGGGGTGAGGAGGTCACACGTTATTGAACTTGAGAACTGTTTGATCATAAATCCATTCAAAAAGACTAGAAGGGGAAAAAAAACAAACACGAAATATTAACTGTTATTATTTCCAAATGGCAGGATTTTGAAAGACAGACATTCTTTTGGTTGGAATTTTCTAATTATTCTTTAAGGAACGCTTGCTACCTCCACATTACTTCAGAAATCAGGTAAGTAGGTCAGTGATACAACACAAATACATGCCAACATGTACAAAAATAAGCTGAGGATGCTCTCATTTCCTACCACTGAAGAGCGGAATTCTATTTATTCAACGTCTGTCCTGTTCATCACACTCCTGCCCGTTCCAGCACCTTGCAGAGAGTAGGCACTCAACAAACACTGAATTTTATCACTCTCCTGCTTGAATCCCTTCTGTGGCGTCCTACTGAGGCTTCCTGTCAAGGCCCACAGGGTGTCATGATCCAGAAGCCCTGCCAGCCTCAGCAACTCCATTTCCACCAACATTCCCTCCCCCATTCACTGGGCACTGGCCACACTCATCTTTTCTCAGGAGCAGCGCGTCAATTTCTACAGGGAAGTCAGCTGAGACTTAAGACAGGGATGACCCTGAACCTGCAGATCAGTCTGGGGAGTACTGCCGCTTTAACAATATTTGTCTTCCAATCCACAAACCTGGGGTGTCTCTCCAATGATTTATGTTCTCTTTCATTTATTTCAGTATTTTGCAGTTTTCAAAGCACATATTTGCACTCCTTTTGCTAATATACCCTTGGAATTTTTGAACATATCCTACCTGAAGGCTTTTACCTCTGCCTAGAGTCCTTTCCCACTTAAATTTCGACATGCTTGCTCTTCTTCAAAAGTAGGTTTCTGCTCAGTAGTCAGCTCCTCAGAGAGCCCCTCCATAATCACCCTCCACCCCCGACCTCCGAGAACATGCCTCAATTCCTTCACGCTGTTCAGTTAAATTTTTACTTGTTTACAGTCTTATCATCCCTCTTTCTGACTCCATGAGAGCAGAGGTGCTGCCTGTCTTGTTCACTGCTACAGCCCCGGCTCCTGGCCCCGAGAACAGCAGAGGCACATGATAAAGTCTTGTATGTATGATCAGGCTACAATACTAAAAACTATTTTTAAAGTATGTGCCAGCTTTTAAAGTTGAGAGAGAAAAAGATGCATCAACAGCACCTAAGAACAAAGAGCAACCACTTGCAACAAGCCAGGCTGTGTACCTGTCTGTTTTCACAAGACTTTTGACTCAACCTTCTGTTTTTGACACATAATCTGTTGACCCAGTCCACTGGGTTTACCTACTGTATACGATGCAACTGTATCACAGTTATCTTGGGTTCTTCCCACTGTGTCACTCACAAAGGACACCATAGCAGGCACAAGTGGTTCTAACACAAAGAGGTCACCAGTAGGCCCATCTGCAACCTGACTAACTGTCAGACTCTCCCAGGAAGTCATCCCAGTTTATATTCCTCTCCCCAGGCCCCCACCTGCAAGGAAAGCACTTGCTCCATTTCCCAACATTCATGCCAACATTTGATATTCTATGTGAAACTGTATCTCACCATTATTTTAAATTACATCTCTCTGAAGAGTATCTTTCTACTTCTTTATCAACCATATAGATTCTTCCTAGGTGACTGCCTGAATCTCTGGCCATTCACCAGTAGGATTGTTTGTCTGTGTCTTATTAACATTCGAAAGTTTTTTGTTTTTGGATATTTTAGACACTGGACCTTTTTTCCAATTTTTTCTAAACATTATATATAACTACTCCAAGTCTGTGGGTTTTCCTTAAATATGGTTTATGGTATTTTTGGCCCTATGACAGGTTCTTCATTTTTTTAATGGCTTTATTAAGACAAAATTTGCACACCATGTAATCTACTCATTTAAAATATACAATTCAGTTCACAGATTGGAAAACCATCACCATAGTCAATTTTCAAACATTTTCATCATTTTCTAAAGAAACCTCATGTCCTCTAGCAGTAAATTCTATTTGGGTCCACTTTCTTTTTCAACAGTTTTTAAAAATTTTCTCTTAATCATCTTGTTGGATTGATTCAAAGATAATTTATGTAGCTACCACTGACAGTATCCTTCTAAAAATGTCATTTTCCCTTGTTATTAGTTTATACAACAGCAACAGACTTCTGTATATTGATCTCAATTCCAGACACTTTGCTAAAATCTTTCAAATTCAAATTAGACTGTTTGTAGCTTCTCTTGACAGTAACTCCACAAGGAATAACAGTGTTTCTTTCCAATCCTTGTTTCATCTTCTTTTCTTTTTCTTAACTTTGACTAGAACCTTCAGTGAAATGAACAGAAGCAGCAATAATAGGAATCCTTGCCTCACTCCTGACTTTAAAGGAAATGCTTCTGACGCTTCACTAATAAATACGGTATATGCTAAAGATTTCTGAAAGAAATTCCTCATCAGGTTAAGGAAGTACCCTCTATTTCAAGTTTGCAAAGAGAATGTCACTATAACTGTTACATTTTAATGAATGCTTTATCTGCAACCTCTGAACAATCAATTTTTCTCCTTTAATCTGTTAACATGAACTATGCTCATTGATTTTTTTTCACGATTCATTTGCATTCCTTGAATAAATTTAATATAATCATGATCTTTTAAAACTATACTGCTGACTTATGTTTGCTAAATTTTACTCTGAATTTCCACATCTATTCACAAGTGAGATAAAAAAAGTTATAAGGCAAAATCATTCTCTCCTCGGCTACATATACTCCCTGACTAGTACGGTTAGGTCATTCTAATATCATAGGATTAACTGACTGTGTTCACTCCTATTTTCTAGAACAACATATATAAGATATCTGCTTCTTTTTCTGGTAAGCTTGATAGAGTGAAAATCACTCAGTCATGTCTGACTCTTTGCAACCCCATGGATTATACAGCTCTATTCTATAGGCCAGAATACTGGAGTGAGGAGCCTTTCCCTTCCCCAGGGGATCTTCCCAACCCAGGGATCGAACCCAGGTCTCCCGTCTTGCAGGTGGATTCTTTACCAGCTGAGTCACAAGGGAAGCCCCAAAGTTTGATATACCTTGACCAAGAAAACATCTGGACTCAAGTTTCTTTTAGTTTTGTATTTTGATGGGCTATCTTAACTACTTATTCATGCTTTAAAAATAAGTTTGACTTCCCTGGTGGTCCAGTGGTTGGCATCTGCCTGCCAATGAAGGGGACACAGGTTCGATCCCTGGTCTGGGAAGATTCCACATGCCTTGGGACAACAAAACCCATGTGCCATAACTATCTGAGCCCATGTGCTGCAACTACTGAAGCCCTCACACCCTAAAGCCCCTGTTCTGAAACAAGAAGCCACCGCAGCAAGAAGCCCTCGCACCAAAACTAGAGTAGCCTCTGCTCACTGAAATTAGAGAAAGCCCACTCGTAGCAACGGAGACCCAGCACAGCCAAAAATAAATAAATAATTTTTTAAAAAAATCTATGTCTTCTATTTCTAGTAATTTTGATAAGACATATTATTTTAGGAAACTGCCCATGTTATATTGGTTTTTAACATTTCTGGCACAGTATTATCTTATGATTTGTTCAATTTTTACTTGTGAAAGGGAAAGTATTTGTCGCTCAGTCATGTCTGATTCTTTATAACCCCATGGACTGTAGCCTGCCAGGCTCCTCTGTCCATGGGATTCTCCAGGCAAGAATACTAGAGTGGGTAGGCATTCCCTTCTCCAGGAGATCTTTCTGATCCAGGGATCGAACCCGAGTCTCCTGCAATGCAGGCAGATTCTGTTCTGCCTGAGCCACCAGGGAAGCCAGTATCATCTGGTGATTTGTTCAATTTTTACTTGTAGTCCTGTTCTTTTTCATTACAAATGTTGTGATGTGTTTGTCTTCTTCTCTCTCCTTTTAATCAGTCTTACCAGAGCTATATTGTATTTGTGTTTTCAAAGAAAAGCATTATTTGGGTTTATAGATTACACCTAGATAATTTCTTTTTTTAGTAATTTCTACATTTAAAAAAATTTATTTTTCTGCACTGGCCTTCTTTGGATTAGCTCAGCTTGGTTTTTCTAACCTCTGCAGCTGGAATCTTATCTCAGATTTTTTTATTCTTTTTTAGTGGAAGCATTTCAAAATGTAAACTTTTCTCAACATACTCCTCCTTTACCTGCATTACTTTCCCTCACCACTATCATCAATCTAATCCATCAGCAAATCTTGTGCATTTTCTTGCCAAAATAATGTCTCAGGTCTACCTGCTATGTTCCATCTTCTTCAGATGATGGAGACTGACCACTGCATCAGTCCTCCACGTGTCCCGCAGCCCTAAGACCACTGCACCCACGTGCCCACTGACTGCCCCTGTACCTACATATTCTGCATGTCCAAACCTGAACTAACCTGCACCCCTGCCCCATCTGGCTCTTCCTCCTGTATTCCACCTCAGCCCAGGCCTTTGGAAAACATCCTGGACTACTGCTGCCCCATACCCACGCAACTCTTAAGAGCTAAAGATTCTCTTTCTTCAACATCTCTTACTTCTGACTCTTCTTTTCCATACTCCTCTGATACTCCCCTTAGTTCAGGCCCTCATCATCTTCACTTGCAGCTATTGCTAACAGTCTCAACTGGATCTTCCTGCTATGGGTCAAATAATTCATCTTCCTGTCAGTGACTTTTTTCAAATGCAAATCTAATCTTGCCACTGCTTAATTAGCTCAGAGTTCCAAATGACCTAGGGGTAAAGTCCAAGTTCCTTATGATGGCAGTCCACCATAAACTCTGTCTTGTCTGCTTCTTAACGGTTTGCTAACTGCCTACGATTCCTGGAACATATTAGACAATCCTATAGTTGCAGGTCTTTTGAGTCCACAGGTCCTC